ATCATGTCATTTGTCTTTTTGCGGAGAGAGAGAGAGATACGTTGCTTTTTATACGTCACATTGATAATCGCATCATGTTACATATGTCCTAGTTTTATACCAGAGCCGATAAGTCTTACGAATATATATATATATATATATATATATATCGATAATGGACCACTTTTTACCCTATATTTAAATTTTAAACCCTGACCTCGTTCGTGACTTGCTCTGCTTGCATTAACACAATAATCAAACTTTTATAAGGCAGCTTTTCAACAAAGAGAATTCATTTTCCATCATACATACACATTTTGCTATATATAGGTACAGTAACATTTAAAAAAAACAATACACAGAATAATCTTTTATTATTGAGATCATCGCAATTTTATATATTCAAATCAATGTTTTCTATTTTCGATTCAACGTATTCTGAATATGTGATATTAATCTATTTTATTTTTTGTTTGTTTTAGGTGAGTCTTCCTTTTATGCTCTTATAAAGTTAATTTCGCAGTGAGTAAATTTATTTTTCACTTTAGATTTTTATTATATCATCTCTAGGAGAGAAAATAAATATACAAAATTTTATAAAAAGTATTTTTAAATTTTGTATAAAAGTATTTTTAAGTTGTGGAAAATATATACACGTCTCACAGCAAAATAATTATTTATTTGATTTATATAAATTTTTATTTGATTTGAACAAAAAATTTTATCTACTTACTTTATTTATTTTAAATGGGCTAGTAGGCTCTGAGACAAATATACGTTTATTTAACTCAAATATATTATATTTGGTTCACTTTCTAAATCTGAATTAGTAAAAATGATTACTAATTTAAATTAGTAACTCACTTTTTGCTTTAGAATTAGTTAAATTTTACTAATTGTTAGTAAAAGTTACTAATATAATTAGTAAAATTTTACTAATTCAAAAGCAAAAAGTGAGTCACTAATTTAAGTAAGTAAACATTTTTACTAATTCAAATTTAGAGAACAAATAAAACATTTCTGTAGGTGTAGTAAATTAAAATTTCTTTACACTATTTACAACTCTCTTTCGAATTAGTTAAAAATAACCAATTTTGATATCAAAAAATTAGTTACTGATTCAAATAGTAATATTTCTATACTAATCTTTTAGTTAAAAATAACTAGTAAATTAAATTTATTTTTAGGTTACTCTCTAAATTTGAATTAGTAATATTTTTAACTAATTTTAATTAGTGACTCACTTTTTCCTTCTAAATTAGTTAAGTTTTATTAATTCAATAGTAACAAATTTTTTTCCTATTAAGTAGATAAATTTTACTAATTTAAAAGCAACAAGTGAGTCACAAATTCAAATTAGTTAAAAATTTTTACTTATTCAAATTTAGAGAGTATTTTTTAGTAAATGTTGAGCCAAAATTTTACTCAATTTTTTTAATTAATTCGGATTGAGAGAGAAAATCCGATTTGTATATATACTATTAATGCACTAAAGGAAAAAATTTTTAAAAAATCTGACGATAAATTAATTCAAACTATTTGAATTTTAAAGTGAGATAAAACAAAAATCGATTTTTTTTTTTTTTTTGAAAAACTTTAGGAATGTGAGTTTTCTTGTTTATGAAATTCTCGGTCCAGAGCTTTATCAAAAGCTGAAAAAAACGCGCCCTAACAATAAACGGGTTTTAGACTACTTTTACGTGAGCCTTGCATGTTCAGATTACCTTGTTTTAAATGCACGAACGCTAAATAGTATGCAGCAAGCAGGAACTAATGAAACCTGTTACTTTCAAAGTATGAACCGCCGTCGTTGCATTAAAAATAAAAAAAAAATAAAATAAACGCATTTAAATCTACTTTAAAATCCTGTTTATAAATTGTTAAAGAGAATCATTTTTTTTCAAATGTTAAAAATGGGAAAATTTTTCTTTTTTCTATTGAATTATATACGTTGTTGTTTTTATCGTTAAAATCAACTAACGGACAATAAATAAAAATAATTTCTTATCGCAATATAATTACTTTTAATTAGCAAAAAAAAAAAGAAAAAAAATTATCTTGGAAAAGTAATTAATTTGCAATTAAAAAAAAATTGTACTTAGAAATTTTTGAAATTTTTTTTTTTAAATTATTAAATTAGATTTTTACTGATAAGATTGATAAATAATAATCATTAAATTATTTCAAACATTAATTAATTTTTTTTATTTACATTAATTTAAATTATTTTAAATCCATTATATTGTTTTCGAATTCCTTTTAACAATGTAAATTTAATTTGCAAGCTATATAATTATGAGTAAAGTTTTAATAAAAGAAACAAAACATTTATAATAATTAATTCGTATAACGTGAATGAATTAAATTGTTATAACAGTAATAGAGTCATTACGTAAACAGGGAAATTGAAAACGATTAATAAAAAAAAGGATATTATTTTCTTGCTTATATATACGTGAATAGATATATAAATGTGGAAGTCGTTATATAGCACCAGCATAACTATATATAACATCGCAAGTAGAATTTCATGTAACGGTGCGGATAGTTGATATAAAATTATTATACACGAAACGTTATGAAATTAACTGGACTAAAAAGACAATTAATTTAGAAAAAAAAAGAAAGAAAGAAACGAAGAGTGTAAAAGAGAAAGAAATTTGTTTTTCTTTTTCTCTTTTAATACATTTGATTGATAGTTTTAAACATTTTCTTATGGGGTTTTTTTTTCATTCCACAACAGTTATCTAATTTTTTTTTTGTTCTACAAAATGTCTTTTTAACCATTTTTTTCTTTTCTGAAAAAAACTCTTTTATATGTAGTTTTTTCTCTTCATTTTTCTTCTAAAAGAAACTTTCCATGGAATTTTTTTCTTTTTCGGAAAAAAATTTCCATCTTTAGATATATACTTTTTGTGGGAATACGATTTGGAGTTTAAGGATGACTTGAGAGAAAGTGAAATGTGGAAACGAAGTTTTATTTTGATAAAAAAAAGTAGGAATTAGTTATTGTTGCTTTTAATCAGTGGTCCCCAAAATTATAACAACGGAAAAATTGAGGTTACTACTCCTAATGAATTTAGTAGAAAATTATATCGCTACATTTTAAGAAACAGTTGAGAAACATTACAGCTTCAGTTTTTATGGAAAGAAATGAATTCGTTGAAGTAGCAAACTGGTTTTTTCAATCAGAATTTGCTGCAGTAACTACAAATATTTGTTAGGACAGCAAACAATTTTGCTCTAAATGTAGTTAGTAGAAAATTATATTGCTTCATTTAGAAACAGTTTAGAAACATTACAGTATCAATTTCTATGGAAAGAAATGAATTCGTTGCAGTAGCAAACTGTTTTTTGCTGTCAGAATTTGCTGCAGTAACTACAAATATTTGCTAAAACAGCAAACAATTTTGCTGCAAATGGATTTAGTAGAAAATTATATCGCTACATTTAGAAACAGTTTAGAAAAATTTATAAATATTACAGCATCAGTTTCTACGGAAAGAAATGAATTCGTTGCAGTAACAAACTGATTTTTGCAGTCAGAATTTGCTGCAGTAATTACAAATATTTGCTAGGACAACTAACAATTTTGTTCTAATTGAATTAAGTAAAAAATTGTAGTATCACAACATTTGAAAACAGTTTAGAAACATTTAGAACCTCAGCATAAATTTTAACAGAAACAAATGAATTAGTTGCCGTTGCAAACTGATTTCTGCAGTCAGAATTTGCTACCAGGAATAATATTTGCTATAGGACTGCTAACAATTTTGCTCTTAATGTATTTAGTAGAAAATTATATCGCTGCATTTAAAACATTATACAGCATCAGTTGTTACGGAAGGAAATTAATTCGTTGCAGTAGCAAACTGTTTTTTGCAGTCAGAATTTGATGCAGTAACTACAAATATTTGCTAGAACAGCAAACAATTTTGCTCCAAATGGAGTCGGTAGGAAATTATATCGCTACATTTAGAAACAGTTTAGAAAAATTTAGAAATATTACAGCATCAGTTTTTACGGAAAGAAATTAATTCGTTGCAGTAGCAAACTGTTTTTTGCTGTCAGAATTTGCTGCAGTAACTATAAATATTTGCTAGGACAGCAAACAATTTCGCTGTAAATGAATTTAGTAGAAAATTATATCGCTACATTATAAGAAACAGTTGAGAAACATTACAGCTTATCAGTTTTTATGGAAAGAAATTAATTCGTTGCAGTAGCAAACTGATTTTTTCAGTCAGATTTTGCTGCAGTAACTAAAAATATTTACTGGGACAGCGAGAATAGTTTGATATAGCAGCAAAAAATTCGAATCGCTAAGAAATCATATTCTCTTTCGCGGTCTGAACAAGTATTAAGCGACCTTGGATATCCTTGAGAAGCTTCAGTATTTGATGACAATGATGATATTTTTTGATGATAAGAGACATAAATAAACCACAGTCCATTTTCTGAAAATTGGAAAAAAATAAAATAAAAGTATATGAATCGGTGAACGAGCGAGGGAGACGATGTTCAGCTTTGCGTGCCGGCAGACCGTGAAAGTGCATCAGAGCGCACCAGGGATTCCATGTTGCAATAGGCTGGAGACGTTGACGTTGACGCAGCAACAGCGGCGACGGCCTCGAGGCACGAAGCGTTCCCAACGCTTGTGGTACACAATTCAGTCGTCGCATATCACGTGCAGTTCTCAGAGTTGTTTGGTTTGAGACAGTATTCGCTGGACTTGATTGGTATATACACGTATAGGACGTAAAAAAGAGAAACTTTTTTTTAAACCTCCTCCTTTTCCTCGAGAGAGAGAGAGAGAGAGAAAGAGTAGTAGAAGAGGAAGAAGAGAAAGAAGAAGAAGAAGAACTCTTGGAAGAATGGTCTGCGCACTTGTTGGCGCGCAACGCGTTGCTCCAAAGACCAACGGCCACATAACGCTCCCACCGTTCAATTTTTGACGCTAGCGACATGAACGCGTCGCGACAAGCGGTCGAAGCAAACAGGAAGGTCGAAATCGACGCGACGCGTTAGTGCGCAATTAGTACGCGACGCGATCGAACCCTCACTGCGGCGTTACTCCGTTTTAATTTTTTCAAAGTTGAAAATAATTTTTGTTTAATGTTGTACTAAATCCACAAGCATTGCGATAGAATTTTTTTTTTTCGCGAATACATTTTCAATTGTAATTTGAAAATCGAGAAATAAAAAGGCAATTATGACAATGCAGCGACGCGCTCCAGAGAAAATGAATTGTAACCTACTTATTCAAGAGGTCTTTGCGAGAAGGGCGCTCTGGCAACGAAATCACAAACATCATCACAATCGTAGCATTCTCGATCAACATTGGGATGAGGTGGCCGAATGCATTGGCAGTACACGTAAGCGCGCTTCTTTTCAAGTTAGGCTAGGTGAGAGTACCACACGCACCAACCAAATAAACCGGCACTAATAATAATAATCAGCTGCGCACGCTTTGTTTATTATTTTAAAATTTTCGGAGTAAATAAAATTTTTTAAATTTCTAATTTACATACACCTTTTTTTTGTTAAATTAAAAAATGTTAATTTGAATAAATAGGTGATTAATTTAGCCTTTTTTAAAAAAGATGACATTTTTTTTTTTTGGAGCCAATTTTTCAAACGGATCATTTTTTAAAAAGTAATTAATTTTTAACATCATTTTTTTATACTCTTAATGTAAATAAATAACAAAAATATTAAAATTAATAGATAAAAAAAATTGTTTAAAATTAAATTAACAATTGCAATTTTTAGAATTTTTAAATATGCAAAAAAATTTTTTCCCGAGATCAATATTTAAAGATAAAAGAAAATTATTTTGAAATGTGGTATTCAAAAATATTTAAAACAATTATTTATTTTAAATACTCTTTAAATTTAAGTTAGTAAAAAAAATTTAACTAATTCGAATTAGTAAAAATTTTAACTAATTTGAATTAGTGAGTCACTTTTTGTTTTTTAATTAACTAAATTTTTACTAATTCGATGGTAAAAAAAAATTTCTATTAATTGGTTAAATTTTACAAATTCAAAAGCAAAAAGTGAGTTACTAATTCAAATTAGTTAAAAAAATTTACTAATTCACATTTAGAGAGTAGTTTTTTAAATTGTTTACATATTTATAAAATGTTAATGAAAAATTGTGTTAATTATTAATTAGGCTTAATAATAATAATAAAAATATTTACTACAATTAAAAAATCAAAATCTGTTCTACAATAATAAAATTATTTAACTCTCTAAATTTGAATTAGTGAAAAGTGAGCTACTAATTCACATTAGTAAGAATTTTTACTAATTTTTAGTAAAATATTATTAATATTTGAATTAGTAGTTTTAGAATTTTTTACTAAAGTTTTAGTAAAAAGTGACTAAAAATTAGTGAAAATTTTTACTAATTTAAATTAGTAGCTAACTTTTCACTAATTCAGATTTAGAGAGAATTATATATTTATTGAATATGTATAATAATTATTATTTATTATAAATAATATATACAAGTAGGGAAAAAATTTGAACTCGTATTTTTTTTTAATAAATAACATAAATTGTTAACTAAACAATTATTATATGTGACCTGGACAGTTAAAAGGGACCTTTTGTCCGGAAAAATTAATTTTTTATTGATTGGTGATTCTGATAGAAAAAAGTTTTCTCTATCAGAATCACCAATCAATAAAAAATCGATTTTTTCGGACAAAAGGTCCCTTTTAACTGTCCAGGTCACATATAATTAAATAATAATAATTGGCGAAGTGAAAAGTTTGTAAAAACACTGTTGGGTATACAAAGAAATAAATTGTAAAATTGTAATTAAATAATTATTATTATTATTATTATTAATTATTATTATTGGTAAAAATAGCGTCACAAGAACAATAAAATTAATAAAAATGATTAAAATGCCTATACTTAAATTTTAATATTTTTGTATTAAAAAATAAAAATTGTAACCGCACGCAATAAAAATTAATCTTAACAGCAATTATAAAATTATTGATTGCCGGTACAATTTGTTAACTTTTTATAAATGAGAGGCTTGATAAAAAATACGATAAGGTATTTCGAAAAAAAAGAAATATTGAATAGAAAACGATAAGATAAATTTTAGTACAATAAAAGCCATATAGAGAAAACTAGTTATTGCATTGAAATTTATTAACGAGGCATAAAACATAAAAATTTGAATAATATACTCATCGGAAGTAAATAATCGAAATAATTTGGAATTTTTTTTTTTTTTTTGCAATAAATGGTCAGTGGTACTCTCAATATGTATATTATATATTTTCAAAATATGTATTTTCGATTATTTATATTTTATTATTTCACCAGGAGATGGATGTCGTCGTAGATGGAAAAGTTTAAAAGACAATTATCGTAGGGAATTAAAAAAAAGTGAAGAAACATTAATTAAATCATGTTGGCCCTATTATGATCCATTAATATTTCTTAAAGATCAAATGATCTCTTCATTTCTCGCTGATCCATTGGAAATTCAACCGCAGACAAAATTGGAAATATTTGAAAATTCATCGAACGATGGCGAAAAATTGGATAATGATGTACAAGAAATTGATGAGGAAATTAAAGTTTTTAATACAATTGATTTAATGGCGTCAACATCAACGACACGTGGTCGTCGTGGAAGGAAAAAACGACAAAAAATTATTGATGAAAATGAAACTATTGTTAATGAAATTTTAACAACTGATGAAATTATTCCACAACAAGTATTAACAAATGACAATATAATGAAGGAGAATGATTATGAAAATACATCCGAGTCGGATGATTATTTCTTTTTTATGAGTCTAATTCCTCATGTTCAAAATTTTAGTTCTATACAAAAATTACGATTACGAAATAAAATACAACAGCTAATTATAGACGAGGCGTCAGGTGTTAATAGTCATTAATTTTATTGTTTTGTATTTCACTTTCTCTCTTTCACAAAAATTTAATTTGTTTTTTCATATTTAATTTACAATATATTGTTTTATCTTGAGTATTATTTAAAAAAAATGTTCTTTTGTTTTCCATTTCCAAATTTTATTTTTTAATTTGGAATTAAGATGAAAATTAAATTTTGATTAAAGTAAAATTTTTTTTTTACGATTCTTTTTTTACGAGTTAAAAAAACAACTCCCTATGCAGTGATAAACGAAGTGTAAAAAAAAGTTTATTTTACTACATTATAGAATTGTACTTTTCTATTTTCTGTTTGAAAATTTATAATAAAAAAAAAAAAAAATGGTTGACTGACAATTTTTGTAATATTAAATTTAATCCTTTAACTTTGTATCTTGGAATTAAAAAAAAGTTGGGATAATTTTTATATTTAATTATTTTAAGGACAATGAATATTGTTTGAAGGGGATACGGATACTATTTTAAGTTTTCTTATTGAAAATTTCAAGGGCACGAATTATTTTTTTTGAAAATAATTTTTTGAAATTTATTCACAAATGTGTTTTGAGTGTATATATATATGTATATACAGTGTGACCGGTATTTCCCGCCCACGGGGCTGTAACAGGCGCGCGTTGCGATTTCTCAACAGATCACGAACCGGTTTCACCATCGGTATAATCTCTGTTTAACTTGAACTCTGGTGGTTCGTTTCATATATATTTTCTTTATCGTATTTCATCAATTAGTTTCTACCTTTCCTCAATAGATTGTACATGTAAATTCGCCATGCACTCACGACCGATTCCCGTATGTCGATTGCAAATTCAAAGAACACCTAATTGACTACCATTTAGAATAAAATTCTATTTAAGGATTTTAAAAAGAATATGTTCTTTAATCCAATTTAAATTATGTCATTTTATTTCTTCTGTCCACCTCATACCGTTATTTCAACGTAATTGCAATTTTTTTTTTAAATTATATTAAAAAATATTTTAATTTATTTAATGTGTTTTTAAATAAATTAAATATTAAAAATTTAATTTTAATAAATATTTTTCGAAAAATGGATTTTTTTAGAACAAAAATTTTAAATATCTGGTTATTATAAATGAAATTAAATAAAATAATACTAAAGTGCGAGATTTTATTAAAAGAAAATTAGCATTGTTATTAAAATTGAAATAAGTATATAAATTTTTGTGATAAACATATCGGTACTTTTAATAATCTTATATAGTGCTTAAGTTGAAAAAGAAAAATTATACATACATATATATATATATAGGAAACAGATGCTTGCATGTTAAAGAAACAGCTAATTAGTTGGTGAGCTAAGAGGTCATTGCACGTAATTACATTCAACCTTTTCTGAACGCCTGCCAACGGCAAGTAGCAAGTATTGCACGATAAAATATCCTAGGTCACTCTCGCATTATTCTGTAATACCACATTCTCAAGGTTTCGCTCTCAGCGTCTCTAATGCTCTTTTGTTTTATATCTGCCCCCTTTCTCGACCGTGAAACACTCGCGATTAATTACATTTTCTGATGTTCATTCGTTCTTCAAAAAAAAAAAAAAAAAGTTTTCAAAATGAATAAAATAAAAAAAAAATTTTTTGATAATATTTAATATTTTTTTTACGTCAGTGAAGTTATCTCTTTAAATTTTAATTAGTTAAAAATTTTAGCCTAATTTGAATTAGTGACTCATATTTTGCTTTTGAAAAAAAACCTACTAATTCGTTAGTAAACAGTTTTATTTTTACTAATTTTACTAATTCGTTATAGTAAAAAAAATTTATTTTTACTATTCTATTTTACTAATGCAATTTTACTAATTGGTTAGTAACTAATTTTATTTTTACTATTAATTAGTTAAATTTGACTAATTCCTTAGTAAAAAGAATTTATTCTTATTATTTAATTAATTAAATTTTACTAATTCGTTAATAAAAATTTTTATTTTTACTATATTAGTTAAATATTTAATTAGTTAAATTTTACTAATTCGTTAGTGAACAAATTTATTCTTATTATTAATTAATTAAATTCTAGTAATTCGTTAGTAAAAAAATTTTTTTTTATTTTTTGCTAATTCGTTAGTAAACAAATTTTAATTTTACTAATTCGTTAGTAAAGAGTAAGTTACTAATTTAAATTCGTTTAAAATTGTACTAATTCTGATTTAGTCAGTTCAGAACGTCGATTTAGAAATAAAAAATTTATTTATATTTTTTAAAGAAAGTTTATTTTTTTCAATTTCTTTCATTGTTCGAATAATTTATTAAAATAAACCAAACGTTTATTTGGATCAAGTAAATATTTATTTGAATCAAATTTTTGCGACAAAAAAAAATTGTTTTAATACAAAAAAATAATATATTTACTTCAAAAAAAAAAAAATTTTCTACATTGAAAAGAAAAATAATTTTTTCATAGATCAATTTTTTGTTTCAATAGAAGTTTCTTGCGAAAGTTTTTCTTTTCTTTTTTTTTGGGGGGGGGGGGGGAGATTTAATGAAGTACTTGTTTTTCTGATTAAGTAGGTATAAAATGAGAAAGAGAGGCATAAAACGAGTGAGTTTATCGACTTCCTGTTATATATGTATATATATACATATAAACGTATATGCTTGTATTCTGTGGAGAATTCCAACCCAAAGATGTTATCCAACCGAGGGAGGAGAGGGTCCTGTAGATACCACCCACTTATCCTGAGGACGATATATCTCTTGGGTGTCGTGGCTCCACTTTAGACTTACAGCGAACTGAAATGGCCCCCTTTCTCCCTTTCTATTCTCTATACCCCCAAAGGGGATGAAGGCGAAATCAGCTCACGCTGCAAGTGGTCGTTCTCATCGTCGTATAAAATACACACCCATAGCGACATTCTGCAGATTCACACTCTGAGCCTCGATAATTCATTCTGAAATGATTTATTCTCTTCTTTAAATTTTTTTTTCTTTTTTTTTTTTTTTTTTTTTGCACCATCACTCGCTATTTTTACGTTCCATATTATATATACATAAAAAGAAATTAAATGCGAAACGCGTTTAATTTAGAAATGAATTCGCGCTCTTCAGATAATTTCATTTAGAAGAAAAACTATTTTTTTATAATGCAAATTATTATAATTTTTTGACTGAAAACATTTTTGCAAATGTTTCTCGCGATTAATAAATTTCTTTTTTCACAGTAATGATATATATCGGAGCCAAATAAATATTTATTTGTGCTAAATAAATTTTTTTTTATATGTAAAACAAATAAAAACTTATTACTGACAAATATATTTTTATTTGATTCAAATAAATGTTTCCAATAAATTTTATTTGTCTCATATAAATATATTATAGTAAATAAAATATTTCTCTATAGGTGGAAAAAAATATTTTTAAGGACAAAAATATTATTATTTTCTGCTTGAGAAAAAATATATCTTTTTTTTCAATCGTTGTAAAGAAAATCATTTTCTTTTAGCGAAATTTTTTTTTTTTTTTTTTTTTTAATCTATTTTGAAAACTTTTAAGAAAAAAAAAAAAGATTAGAACATATAAATTAGAAAATTATGGTTATAACTATTTGAAAAAAAAGAGAGAGAGAAATAAAAGCTCACATTTTAATGTATTTCCCAGTACTCTGATAACAGTTTCGGGTCATGAATCTCTTTTTCCATTTCAATGTATCACATCAAACCACATTGTGGGCTGTATAACGTCTATATGTCACGCGTGTTTTCGCTGGTTAATTCAGTTTTGAACGGTGTTGTGTCCCAACGGTAAACTCGAAACGCCGCCCACGTATACGTCGTTGACCCGAATGACGATGCGCGAATTCATGTTTGTTTGCCAGTGAGAGGAGAGAGTTTATCCAAAAATCTTTCTTTTCTTGCGCACCAATTTTCCCGCACTCAAACCCTATATTACAATTTTAATAGGATTTGAAAAAAAAACCTGCGTTAGAAAAAAAATTTCATTTTATCATAAAAAAAAAAAAAAATGGTTTCATCAAATTAAAAAGAAAACAATGTTTTATTTGCATTTAATTGAGACAAATATTTATTTGCATCAAATAAAAAAATATTTGCCTCTGAGCCTATAATAACGTTTTGTTTGAAATAAAAAAAGTTTCATTTAACACACAAATACAATTTTATTTGTTGCAAATATATTTTTTTTATTTAAATCAAATTTAGAAACAAATAAATATTTATTTATATTAAATAATTATTTATTTGAGACAAATAATTATTTATTTTAGTCAATTAAATGGTATTTGTTTCAAATATACAGAAATTATTAGTTTAAATATAGAAATTATTAGTTCAAATACAAAAATTGTTTCAAATAAAAATTTGGTTCAATTAAATATTTATTGGATAATAGTTAAAGTAATCGAGTATTTGAATCAAATAAATTTTTTTTTTCAGTGATTGTATATTCCGAAAATTATTTCCCTTTTTTGAAAAATAAATTGAGACCTATCAATTTATAAAGTGGGTGCAAATTTAAAAAAAAAGTCTTTCTCTTTCTTTTCCTCTTAGAAAGTTTCCTTAATATACCTATAGTATCCAATGAGATTGACAATACCCATTTGATTTCTATCGATTTTGACTTTATCCAAGCAATTCGATAAGAATACGAAACGAATGGCTTCTTTGCGGACTTAAAAGAACTGATCCCCGGATCGTATAATCTTGCATTCGCATGCATTCATCGTGTATGCATGTTCGGATAACGTGGTTTTCTTGCGGGCTCATGTTGGTAGGAAGAGAGAGAGAGAAAGAAAAAAAAATTCCAGAATTTATTATCCTGTGTGGAAAAAAAGAGAGATCTCATTTGAGAATGGGGAACATTTTACTTTTATGATTTTCCGCCTTGCTCTCAAATTAGGTTTTCTGTGTGGTTATTCAAAGAGGATCAAATGCACCACAAACACAAAAGCCTTCGTCTTCCAACTAATAGACCTCGAAAGTCTTGGATGTATGTATATATATATATAAAGACTCACCAGATCAGAGTCTTGAAACTTCTTGCACAAAACTTTTCTTTTTCTTTTTCTATAGATCTTTCTTTTACGAATTTCTATAAAAATTCCATTCCAAAGTTCTTCTTTGCAATCAAATTTCGAGTGTTCATTTTATCGAAAATTTTCAAAAATCCTGTTAAAAAAGAAAAAAGATAGAAATTTATTTTTTTATTCTATATTCGAATTTTACAATATATTATTTCCCCCATCAATTCCCAATTATTTTTAACAATTAAATTAACTTTATTATTACATTGAAAAAAAAATTTATTTGATTCAAGTAATCGATTACTATTATCAAATAAATATTTATATTAAATAAATAATTTAAACAAATACAATTTAATTTATTTAATTAACAATTTTATTTATTAAATAAATTGAATGGTATTTGTTTCAAATAAAAATTATTTTGTTAAAGTAAATATTTATTTGAATTAAATAAATTATTTCAGATTACACAGGCACAAAAAAAAAATCTGGTGTGGCCGAGACACTACAGTAGTATATTACCATGTATTTTTCGCCGCTGAATCCGAATCCGCAGTCGGAATAGTCAGAATGGCTCTTGTTTTTGAGTTATACTAAAAAAAACGACTCAAAAAAACTAATTAAAATAAGAAAACAAAAAAATTTTTTATGTCACTACACTAGTGTATTTCCATGTATTTTTCCCCGCTGAATCCGAATTCGAAGCTAGAAATGTCAAATTGGCTCAAACTTTTGAGATAAACTCAAAAAACTGCTCAAAAAATTAGTTAAAATCAAAATAACGAAATTTTTTTTGGCCAACACACGACACTAGTGTATTTTCATGTATTTTTTCCCGCTGAATCCGAATTCAAAGCCAGAAATGTCAAATTGGCTCAAACTTTTGAGATAAATTCAAAAACCTGCTCAAAAAATTAGTTAAAATCAAAAAACGAAATTTTTTTTGGCCAACACACTACACTAGTGTATTTACATGTATTTTTTCCCGCTGAATACGAATTCGAAGCCAGAAATGTCAAATTGGCTCAAATTTTTGAGATAAACTCAAAAAATTAGTTAAAATCAAAAATTTTTTCCCGCTGAATCTGAATTCAAAGCCAGAAATGTCAAATTGGCTCAAAATTTTGAGATAAACTCAAAAAACTGCTAAAAAAAAGTGATTTAAAATCAAAAAGTTTTTAAAGTTTATCCCAAAAGTTTGAGCCAATTTGACATTTCTGGCTTCGAATTCGGATTTAGCGGGAAAAAATACATGGAAATATACTAGTGTAGTGACATAAAAAATTTTTTTTTGTTTTTTTAATTTAATTAGTTTTTTTGAGTCGTTTTTTGAGTACAATTCAAAAACAAGAGCCAATCTGACTATTCCGACTTCGGATTCGGATTCAGCGGCGAAAAATATATGGGAATATACTACTGTAGTGTCTCGGCCAAACCACTTTTTTTTTGTGTGCCTGGTGTTATTATTAGGAAATAAATATTCATTTGCAATAATTATTATTTATGTCAATTAAATGATATTTGTTTCAAAATAATTAAAGATATAATATAAAAAGAAAAAGTTAAAAGCATATTGTATAAATGTTAATGAAGAAAAAGTACGTTGATCTTTGGCTGAAAGGTAGTAAAGTTCTCTTTTAATAAATAATGATAACAGAAAATAATACGTACGCGAATAAAATTATCTAATTATGCATCGATCGTGCCTATAGAGAAACTATTTCTTTTTAAATATTAATTTTGATTTTACAATAAATTTTTAAATTCAGTTAATATTTTATCTTCTTTTTTTAATTATTTGAAAATTATAAATGTCAATCCCGGAAATATTATCTACTTTAATTTTACAATACAGTCGAAATTATTTGACTTTTCAGTAATTATTTCTGTCATTTTTAAATATTAAAATACTTATGATAGACATTCTTAATTTTTGCGATCAACTTGACTGACTCTGATAATTTATTTACACGATAATTTTTAATGTGAATTTATATATATATATATATATATATATATATAGATATAAATGTAAGAAAATCATTAGAGAAAATGATGTATTATTATACATTGTGGAGAATCAAAATTACTATTTACAATTTACAATAATAGACTTCTTCTTCATCTTCTTTTGCTATATTATATATATTTATCTTGTACAAAAAAAAGGTTTTTAATTTTTTTCTTCTGTATATAACAAATATTCCTGGAACTGTGTAATTTAATATAAATTTTTTTTTTTTTTTTTTTTTGAAAAAACAAATCTTGTATTAGTGAGAGGAGTAATCAAATTGTCATTTTATGTGTCTCAACATGAAAGCAAGAGCTCTACAATTAAGATAATGCGAATCTGGTATAAACCACATATATACTCTCTAGCGAAGGTGTGTTAAATTCTCAAAGGAGTTTCCAATAATCATCGTATCAGTTCTCTCCATCTTACAATACCTTCGCCAGAAGTTGGAATCCCTTTACTCTATTTCGAAACGATATCTGTTCTTGGCCGAGATCTTGAACGTAAAATTACTCAAGACTGAGGGTCCATTATTCACCTCTCTCTCTATATATATATACTTAAGTTTGTTATAGAATCCAATTTGATTAGGAAAATAATCAACAATGTTCCAACTGAGAATTTGAATTTTATTTTGTGAATTCTAAATTATTTCTAAAAAAAAAAATTATCCTTTATGTACTAAAAATTATTTTTACTATTAAAATTTTAATTACGAAATTAGAAGTAATAAATATTTATTTCAAATAAATTTTATTTGATTTAAATACAAATTTTATTTAAAACAAATAAAAAGCTAAATAAATTTTGTTTAAAACAAATAAAAAATTATTCGGCTCTGAGACGCAAATAATATAATTTTATTTGCTTCAAATATAAATTATATCACAAATAAATGCCAATAAAATATTTCTCTTGTTGTAAATTGTTACGATAAGATATTTCGGTAAAATCAGAAAAATACAAAAGAACCGGGAAAAAAATTTAAAAATAATATTTTTTTTATTGTTCAAATTCGTTGAATGGTTAAACATATATATATATATTTATATTTTACGGTATTTAAGTTTTAAGACCACAAACAAAATAAAGTATATACTCATGTTTGAAGAGCTAAAGCGCAAGATATAAAACATAATCGTAAACACTTTTAAAGCTTCATTGTTCTCGTTGAATTGCATACTCTCTTTCTCTAATGTTAAACATTATTTTAAGTACGGCTTTTTTTACATTAAAAGATAGGAATTAACTTTGTCAAAATAGTTTTTGTAATGTTACGTTTTCTTAGAAAAAAAAAATATTAATACTTAATATAATACTCGTATACATTAAGCGAATGTAACATTTCTTTAAACAATTTTAAACATTTTTAAACATTATTATTCTAACATTATATTAATATAAAAATAGAATTAAAATATATAATAAAAAATATTTTTCAATCTCGCCAGTTCCTTATAAAAGTCGTAATAATCTTAAAATTTGAGGAACCTCCTAAAAAAAAAAAAATAAGAATGACATTAGAAAAATTGTAATTATTAAATTTTTTTTTATTTTTAAAGAGAAAAAAATACCTCATTACTGGATCCCAAATGGGCATTAACGATTGCAAATTCAATTCGTTTTCCTTCTAAACATGGTCCTTTATATTCGTTAACCACAAGTTTTAACAATTCCCATAGACTTTTTGTATCGTTTGGCTTATTAATTAATTTCGTTTTTAATTGTCTTGGAATTTTCAAACGTGTTTTTAATTCACATTTAAAATTATAATTCATTTTGCAAGCTTCACATTCACAATTAAAAAACTTTGCTGTTCTAAAGAAAGTCTTTCTTTCTTCTGCTGTTTTGTTTACTACTTCATGTGTCATATATGATACACAAACCTTTAAAAAAATGACCATAAATACACTTTTTTTTATATAAACCAAAAAAAACTTACAAATTATAAAAAGCGAAGAAAATATTCTTACTTGTTCTCCTTTTTGAATATTTTTACAAGCTCGCAATATTTTTTCATTCTTCTTGTCATACCATAGTGCATTGTTTGCACATGAATTATTTAAATAATTGAAGACCGGATAAATTGCAAGTGCAATTCTTGATCGTGAATTTTTTCCCTGTATCTGAAAATGTTAAAATTATTAAGTTAAATTAAATTAAAATTAAATGAAATTTATTAAATTATTTTAAGGCATTTGAATTTTCCAAATAACAAATAAAAAATTTTATTACATAGATGAAATATTTAAAAAATAGAAATTCTGTTAATTAAAAATTATTTCAAATTATTTGAAAAATATGATAATATTAACATTTGGAAAATATTCAAGCACTCATAGATTTTAAATTTAATTTAGGGATTTAAATTTAAAATTTAAATTAACGATTCAAAATTAAATAATTTTTTGTTTAAATTTTAATCTTACTCCATAGACATTCATCTGACAAATATAGCTGAATTTTAAAAGCATATTTCCAATTTTTACAGTATTTTCATGAGTTGCATGTCCTTTTAAAAAATCGGTATTTTTTCTTAGAACATTAACAACAAGAGCCACATTGAAATAATGCATTCTATCCATTCTCTTATCAGTATGAGTTAATAAACTCAATATTGCTTCGGCTTTACTGCCATCTAATTTTCCATTATGGAAACCACTTGTTCTATCTACATAAATAAAATATTATTATAAATATTATCTTATTAAAAAACAATTGTTTTGTGAAAATTTTATTCTTTAAATTTAAATTAGTAATAATTCGTTCACTAATTCAAATTAGTAGAAATTTTCACTAATTTCTTTGGTAAAATATTACTATTTGTTATATGGTAATATTTTTCTTTTTTTTTGCTAAGTGATAAATGACTAAAAATTAGTAGAAATTTTTTTTTAGGATTTACAATCTTATTTTTTTGCCTGTAGCTAAAAATTAAATTTTTTGTTACCTTTACAATTTTCGATTTTCTTCATAATATTGTAAATTTCATGAAAATTTTTTCCTTTATCCGTCGCTAATATCAATGATCGTAAAGCCAAACTTCTTCCATTTGAAGGATATTTTCGTGAAACTTGACATTCAATGTCATGTAATTTTTGAAAACTTTTTAATTTACATTCGTCTGTGCAATAAATAACTGAAGTGCAATTTTCACATGGAATTGGATTTAAAATTAATTTGAGACAATAATCACAAAACAATTGTTCAGCCGTACCAAATATTTCGCTGAGTCTTTCTGGTATTAGAGTGTGTACAAATGGTTTTTGTAACATTAAAACATCGCCAACTTTAATTTCTTGATTTGCAATATAATGTCTACCATATTTTTCATTAAATTTTAATGAAATTGCACTCGAAACACCAATTAATTCATCACTTTCACCATAGGAAATTTCTTCATTATTTTCATTAAATAATTTTTCTGTGACATTCAAATTTTTTAAATCACTTGACAAAATTAATGAATTTATTATTTTTTTTCTCTTTTGCAATTCCAATTTTTCTTCTTCAGTTTTTGACAATTTTAAAGCCCTCTCTATATCATTTAATGATTCTGAATAAGCTTTTAATTTTTGCAATGCTATTGAACGTTGTGTGTAAAATGAGACAATATGTTTCGAAGAACCAGGTGCTGTGATTAGTGCCTTGTTAAACAAAGACAGAGCTTCTTTATTGTGATTTTTATTCAGCGCCTGTTTTCCTGAAAAATATTTATTAAATCTACACATATAATATTTATAATCGATATATATATATTATGAAATATTTAAATTTTAATAATTATAATTATTATATTGGTTATAATCTTTTGATTATAATTATTCATTATAATAAAAAATTTTCCCATTTTCACCCAACAAGTCTTTAATTCTCTATTTATAAACAACTAGTTGAACCTTGAAAGTAATTTAGAAAGAAAGAAACAAATAAATAATAAATATATACACATATATATATATATATATATATATATATATATATATATATATATATATAAAAGTTAATATATTATTAAATATTTTAATAAATATTATTCATAAAACGTATATGTATACTTTTATAATTTGAGGTTATGTTAAATGATGCAATATTCTTAATTCTCTTACCTTTTGTGAATTCTTCAATAGATTTATCTTCATTTTTTATTGAATCATTATTTTTATTTAAATCATTAAATAATCCCATAAGAAATCGAACAGACGGATCTGATTCATTGAAATACAACTGTTCTATTAGTTTTTCTAATAAGAAATCTTCCGAAAAAAGTGACGAAAATGCTTCCATATTTCAGGAATAATAATTAAACTTTTGTTTATCACACAATTTACTTTTTGTTTTATTTTATTTATCTCTGAATTTTGACTTTTTTTTTTTTTTTTTGTTATACCCGTTGACTGTGCGACTTGATCAGGCTTGTTTGGCCGATAACGAAACAATGAAGATTACAGACGCACAGTATATACAGGGAAATCACCGATTTATCAACGATTCATCAAACCAGGGGTACCAATTTCTCTAACCGGAAGAATAAAATTTCATATTCCAATTAGTCACACCGGAAGTTCGATATTTATGTTTAAAAATATTTCTTATAATTTTATTATTAATTGTAATTATTAATTATTATTATTATTATCATTATTATTATTATTATTAATTATTTTTATTACTTACTAATTAATTATTATTTAATTAATTATTAAATAATAATTTAATTAATTATTAATTATTACTAATTCATTATTAATAATTATGAATTATTAATTGCGTATATAATATTTGTAAATAATTATAACTGTATTTTCGCTCTATAGAAATTTAACTTATTTTGAAATCAAAGCTTCATGTGATATCAAATAATGTTTCTTTTCATGTGCTCTTTTGTTTATGAATATCTCATTAGTAAACTTGGCATTTGTAGATAAGAGAAAAGAATTCGCAATATTTTTTTTTCCTGACTGCCAAAAGAGATTAACAAATTTTTAAACAATAATATTTAAATAATAATAAATAAAAAATTATGGCTAATGTGCAAAATTTTTAAATTAAATTTCATAAAATAAATTTTAATTGAATTTAAAAAATTAATTTTTAATTTAAAAATCTAGAGAATTAAATTACTAAATAATTATTTATAATTATTTGTAATAATATTAATAATTATAATATTAATAATATAAAAAATAGTACGAGTGAAAATTTTCTAACAAAAAATTTAATAATTTAATAATAATAATAATAATAATAATTTATAGTACTTTTTTTAAAATTTAATTTTTTTAATATTTAATTTTATTTTAAATATCAACAAATATTCTTAAACAAATTTATGAATATTTTATAAAGGGTCTCCATACACGGTGGTTGAAATATTTCAAAACAGATGTTGCTTACGATTACAATGAAACTTTTTAAGCTACAAGTAAGCTACATATACTTTGTTGCTTATCTTTAAAAAAAAATCAGTATAAGCTTCTTTAGTGCACGCGTACCTATACTATATATGCAAACGTTAAAAGATTTTCAAACAAACTCTCAGAACAACTCTACAACTGCAACTAAGTTCTTTACCTTTAGAAACCGCAGATGTTGTTCTTTTGTCTAGAAGTAAAATAATGTTATGTTACAACTTAAAAAAAAAAAAAAAATTATACATATAGGTATAATGTAAAAAAGAAACTTTTATCAATGATTTTTTTTAAGTTATTAATTAATAATAAATAATAATTAATATTAAAGAACAGAATTAATTATGAATATGTAATAATATTATAAAATTTTCACTTGTAATATTCATAATTTCTTTATTATTTTATAGAAGAAAAAACATTATATTATATTAATTACAAATTATTACTGTTTTTTTTTAATTTTTTAAATTTTATTGTTCTTAATTTTTTAATTTTTTTTATATTATTGTTTTTAATTTCTTTAATTTTATTGTTTTTTTACTATTGCTCTTTGTATGAATCGAATTGAATTCGCATTTTTTTTTTTTTTTTTTTTTTTGCATTCAAACAGTTATCAAGCCAATCACTTTTTCCGGAAATAGTTTTTCGATCCGTTTTAACACAGAGAGTGATGCCTTTTTCTTGCCAATGCGCGCATTTCTCTCTCATCATCTCTCTGCAAGTTGAGAGGAAATTGTAATACTATTTTCCATGTCATCAATCATATAAAATTCTTCTATTTATTTTTATTTTTATATATAGTTTTTCTATAAAGAATATAAATTTTTCCCTTTTTCAAAAAATATTGCATATTTTATTAGAGAAATTTTATAAAAAATCTCGCAAGTCTTTTGCGAGTAATTTTTTTTTTAATTATATAAAATTAAATTTTAATTTAACCAAAGTGATTTGGTGTTTCATTTCTGACTTCCAATAATCGAAAAAACTCAATTTCTAATAAATTTTAATTAAATAGATCAATTTTACTTTATTTTAAATTTTGAATAAATGTTACATTTTTAGTTTATTGCTTTTTCTGCTTCGTTACATATAATTGAATTTTATTTTTCACACACACACACATATATATAATTATAAATTTTGTATTCCCTTGTGCATTTTATTCGACAAATTGCAAATATAATTTTTACTTTTTCAAATTCTAATTCAATTACAGTTAATTAATTAATTAATTAATTAGTTGGAATCCACTCTTATATTTGAAAAATAATATCTATTAAATTAAAAACAGATAATTTAAATTTTCCTTTTTTAAGAAAGAATTTATTAAACAAATTGCTTTTTAAGTATATATAATCGTTACAAAAAAAAGGGGGGAAAAAAAAATTTATAAATTAATAAGCTCTGGGCGGAACAATATTATCGATGAAACGATCATATTTTTTATTTTGCGCAGATATAAACATGAAGAGTTTAAAGCGATGAAGCGTTTAATGTACGCACTTTAGCATATAATTTTTCAAGTCTTGTTATAAATTTTATTTTCATCCACTCATGCAAAGCAATTCGTATAATATATATATATTATATATATACACCTGGTATATATACCATATTACACACCGGAGAATTGCACCTATTACCGTAATTCATATTATGAAGCAACACTCCTGCTCTAAATAAAATTCCCTTTTTTTCTAATATGATGCAGAAGTTTCCCTGCAATGTATTTCATCTATATATATATATATATATATATGGAGGAAAGAGAATTTATCTAGTTTTCATTTTCTCACTCCAATATAACAAAAGTTTAGAATTAACCTGAAATTATTTTTTTTTATAACTATATATATATTTTTAATATTATTTCCATTCCCGTGTGGAAAAAGCCACGATCTTGCCCTCAAGAGTTCGGGGCCCCCGGCGGGGGCCCATGAGGGCTGATCCATATGGCGAATCCATGAGGGGCACCGTAGGGGCCCCGCATGGATCGCCCTCATGATCGATTAGCAAAATTTTCTAAGTCCAAAAATCAAATATTTTTTTATCAACAAAAAATGAATGTTTCCAATGATTCAAAACAACGAAAAACGCGTTTTTAATAAAAATATATTTACACTTTTTTTGAAAATTCACCTGAGATGATTCATGATAATAATCATAAAGCATATAATTAATTATATTTTATAAATTGCATTTGATTGGAAAATATAATTTAATATCTTAACTTTAACTAAATGATGTTAAGCACTTTTCTTTTGTTAGGTATTTTTGAAGTTTAAATAGCATCAAGAAGTTAGCATTCGTTTTGAAGTAGCGTGCGTAGCGTAGTTGGTAAAGCGTTAGACTCATAGTCCGTAGGTCGTAGGTTCGATTCCCCCCATGCGTTAGATTTATTTATTTCTCAGGTTTGCGTTTAATCATTAATTCTGTGTATGAATTAATTGAAAAATGAAAATATCCGTTAATAGTATGCGTAAATTACATATTTTTTAATTTTTTAATTAATTAATTTATTATTACTTTTAATTATATCCGACAGTTAATTAATTAGAACGTTAATTAATAAATTGAATTTGAGTAAGAATTTAATTTAAAATTGAATAATTATTAAATAAATATGTTATTTATTCATAACTTAAGCTTATTTATTATTAATTAACTTTTATTATTAATATTATTGATTAAAAAACATTATGGCAAACTTGAGGGCAAGATGAGGGCAAACGTGAGGGCCCATAAGGGCGCCCGTAGGGGCACCCTCATGGATCGCCCATGCGGGCGCCCTCATCGATGAGCATGTCGTTTCCATGAGGGGCCCCTATGGATCATCCATATGCGGCCCTCATGGCATGAGGGCGATCCATAAGGGCCCCCGCTGGGGGCCCACATCACTTTTCCACACGGGTTTATTTAAAATTATAGTAATTGCAAAAAAAAAATTAAAAAATTAGGTTAAGTAAAATTTAGAATAAAAATTCTAAGTGTAAAAAATTTGAATTAATAATAATTAATTAATTAACTATTTTCTGTTTTTTTGTTGCAGGTGAGTGCAATTCAGAACTCAGATAATTAAACATGATTTGAATATGAGGTAATGTTTTATTTTTCCTTTTGATCATTTCTTTTGGATTGCCAAAAAAAGGTTGGTTGATAAAATTGTTTTTGATATAATTATTTAAAAATAGAATTTATTTTTATCTGGAACTTTGGTATCTTATACAAATAAATAATAATAATAAATAATAAATAATAATTTATTAGGTATTAAAATATTATTATATATTTTTAATAATAATAATAATTCTTATTATTATTATTATTATTATAAGATCTTATAAAAAATTAATTTTTTAAAAAGTAAAATTATTTAAAAAATTTACAACTTTCTGCTGCTATATTTAGGATTCATTAGAATCTATTGTCACTTTGACATTAACATATAGATATGAAAATAAGGAATAGGCTGTATTATGCAAAATATATGCCAGATTTATGTTAAATACCTACATTGATTCATATATCGTAAATTGGTAGCCATGTGAATACTGAACTCAGATTATTATTAATATGTCTATATATGTATATAGATTTCTCAACGTTCCAATTTTCTTCCGCATGATATATTCTGCAAATGATTTCATTTGTTATAAAGATAATTGAGATTGTAATTCAATTTCCAAGGACGATTTCTTTATAATCAGTATTTATTTTTATAATAATTAATAATAATTTAAAAATAATAATAATTATTATTATTACCTATTTTATGAAATAAATTAGTCAAAAATATAATTCTTTACAAATCATTATGTTTATACACCCAGAGAAAAGATATCTCAGAGCCAAATAAATATTTACTTGTTGCAATTAAATATTTCTTTGTTGCAAATAAATATTTAATTGCAACAAGTAAATATTTATTTGGCTCTGAGATATCTTTTCTCTGGGTGTATAAACATAATGATTTGTAAAGAATTATATTTTTGACTAATTTATTTCATTTCGAATATATGAATTATTATTATAATTTTTTAATTTA